AGTCAAAGTTAGCGAGAGCAATAATTTAAAGCTAAAACCAGCAAAAATAGTAGCTGAAAGCTCAAGATGACAAAACATAAGCTAAAAGGTAAAACTAACTGAACAGCAGCTAAAATCCAAAACGGTAGCCTAAGAGAAGTTTCTAAAGCTTAAAGTTCGGAATAAAGAAATACAATTCAGTTTATTTATTTAGCACCAAGTCACAACAGAAGTCGTCTCAGGACGACAAGACTTAAGAAAGTAAAAGTTTTTAATCTAATGCTCTGAAGGAGCCGAAGGTTTTGGCTTTTTACAATTTCTGACACTGGAGCGTAAAATCAGGCGACACGCTGCAGATGGTTTTGGTCGTTCATCTCCTGGTTTGGTCCTTTACGGCCTCTTGTTGTCGTTGCGTACGGACGTAGTCGTAAATTAGATTTATTGGTATTTTGTGTGTCGGGGTGCTGGATTGACTGCAGAGCAGCTGAGGGTTGGATAGCATCACAGTTTAAATGTTTTTAACCACCACGTTAACGACCACATCAGGTAAGAAGGTCCTGTAGGACAGCCTGATGCGCTGCGGGCTTTCACGCCCTGTTTTCTGCCTGCAGGTGTTTGCGGTGCGTTCAGGTGGAGCCACGGGCGTGGTGGTCAAAGGGCCAGACAACAAGAGCAGCGTTGCATTCAGGTACATCGGCTCACAGGAAGTCTGACACGTGACGCTGTGTTTGTAGAGCAGCGAAGCTGTGACGAGTTTGATGAAGTCTAAAATGCTCCGGAGCCACGGGGTCGAAGGTTCAAGTCCTCCGGAGGTGGATCAGCGGATGACTATTTATTGTTTCCTCCGCAGGATGGACGATAAAGGAGAAGTGAAGTGCATCAAGTTCTCCATCGGAAACAAAATCCTGGCCGTGCAGAGGACCTCCAAGTCCGTGGTGCGTTCAGGGCCGACGTGTGTTGGATCGATGGTTCTGTTTGACCGGGTTTAATTCACGCTTTGATCGTTTCTGCAGGATTTCATCAACTTCATCCCCGACTACCCCCACACCGAGTTCAGTCAGGAGTGTAAGGTCGGTCTTCAGACTAAACTTCTGGATGAAGCTGGTTCTGTCCGGTAACGGTTCTTGTTGCTCCGCAGACGAAGAACGCGATCATTCTGGGGTTCTGTTGGACCAGCTGGAACGAGATCGTCTTCATAACCGACCAGGGCATTGAGTTCTACCAGGTACAGCGTCTGGTTAAAGGTTTTTAACTTTGATTTGTGTTGGAGCCACAGCTGGATTATTTTACGTACAAAGATCTGAACGTGGTCTCGAGTAAAAAATAAAAAAAGAATCGTTTAAGAAACTTACAGGTAAAATAATTGTGTTTTCACCGGGAGCTTCGTGAAATGTTGACACTTTTAATGTCTTCACTTTAAAGGCAGATAGAGCTGGATATTAATCGAAGGTGCAGAACAGAATATTAAAAACAATTTACCGTGTAGGACGAAGATTTTCATCGTTACTTTTATAAAGTTTATCAAAGGTCACTGAAGCTGGTCAGATATAAAATCGTTGAAATCGTTTTTTCTTGTGACGAATAACTTTCACACAATATAAAAGATTTAAAAATAATAAAAAAACTACCGTATAGTTGGGGAGTTTACCAGGAGCTTCATTTTGAGCTCGGCTGTTTCAGTCGATAAAAATCACAAAACGTTTCGCACTAAAGCTTTTTAAATACTAAATTTTAATTTGTTGTTTTAACATTTTTTATTATTAACAATCGTCCAAACGGTGTCTCTAGTTTTTATCTGCATTTCTAAAACAAGTCCAACTCCCGTGTGTTCCGGTAGTTTTCATCAGGATTACTTTTACTCAATCGATCAAAGTTTTAGTTTTATTCCTCGTGTTTACGTTGAATAAACAAATCAGCTGTAGAGCAACGTTGGTTTTCATTTCTGTCTCTTAATCATTTTTTAGTCAAATTTCAAAACGGAGGGTCTGTAATCGTAACGCTCGAGTAAACTCCCGTGTGTTCCGGTAGTTTTCAGCATGAACAGAAGTGGTCCTGACTCGTGCTCTTCTCCAGGTGTTTCCAGACAAACGCAGTCTGAAGCTGCTGAAGAGTCAGAACCTTAACGTGAACTGGTACCAGTACGGTCCGGAGACGGCCGTCATCCTGCTGTCCACCACGGTTCAGGGAAACGTCCTGCAGCCGTTCGCCTTCAGAGTCGGTTCTTTTTTTAAATTCCGCTCGTGTTCGTGCTATTATTTGTAATTAACTTTTAGATCTTTTCAATCCAGAACGGAACCATGTCCAAGATGTCCAAGTTTGAGATCGAGCTGCCCGTCGTCCCCAAACCTGCCAAGCTCAACCTGTCTGAGAGGGACATCGCCATGGCAACCATGTAAACACCTGCGTCAGACGGTTTGACGTGGCCGTAGGTCGTGAAATAACAACCTGTGTGTGTTTAGTTACGGTCAGCTGTACGTCATGTACCTGAAGCATCACTCCAGAGCAGCCAACAGTCCCGGAGCCGAGGTGGTCCTGTATCATTTACCCAGGTAACGACACGCCAGCCGACCCCAGTTTAAACAAGTCCAGGGATCCTGTGGTTACCTGTTCCACTTTTTTATTTTTTCTGGCACTGTTTACACCACAAGTGATTAAAAAACTTTAAAGTTTGATCCGTTATGGCCGTGTCTACATGGGAATGTTTTGAAAAACTAAAAAACATGTAAGTTCAGTCATCCAGGTAGAGAAGAACAAAAAGGTTGAATCGTGTCATCGGGACCGGTTTCTTTGAGCAACGTTTCGTCCTCCATCCAGAGGACTTCCTCAGTCTATGGCCTGTCCCACAGGTACAAACATGTACGTGCGTGATTGCTGTGCATGTGCTAAACGTGACGAAATGTTTCCCACTGAAAGAAACTGGTCCAGATGACCCGATTTACCTTTTGTTGTTCAATACTGTTTCTGATCCCGGTCAGTGTTTTTTATTAGTTTTTAATTTATTCAAATTAAAATGGCTTCCTTCCAGACTACTCTGGATATTTAAAAAACACTTTCCTTTCTCTTTCAGACGTCTGTAATTACTTTTAAAAACACCTTTTTCTTTCTTTATTTGCTTGTTTGTTTTCGTGGACACAGAATATGAAGATCTGGAGGGAATTTTAAACGACTTCAAAGGAAGCGGTTTGTCAGAACTTCCTGTAGTTCTGTCAGATCTCCTGGATTTTGTTGCTTGGTGCACTTGGTCCAGAGTGAAAGTTCCCGTCAGAGTAAATGAATGTGTGCTTGTTGTTCAGGGAGGGTGTGTGTAGGAAGAGTCACGTGCTGAAGCTGAACATGACGGGGAAGTTCGCTCTGAACATCGTGGATGACCTGGTGGTTGTTCACCACCAGAGTTCTCAGGTCAGAAGCTCCACTGAACCCGCGGACACGTCCTCCTTCTGTCCCCCTCACCGTTCCCTGTTCGTCCCCCTCACCGCTCCCTGTTTGTCCCCCTCACCGCTCCCTGTTTGTCCCCCTCACCGCTCCCTGTTTGTCCCCCTGACCGCTCCCTCTTTGTCCCCCTGACCGCTCCCTCTTT